CCCTCGCCGGCTCCCCCGCCCACCTCCACGCGGGCGCTGAGCACATGGCCGGGCTGACGTCAGCGGGGCTCCCCGCCCGGGAGGGGGCTGGAAGAAGCGCGCGTGCGCCGGGGAGGGCGTCGGCGCTCCCCTCCCCCGCCCCTCGGCTCCGTGGAGTCCCACCATCCGCACTCCACCCCCAGCGCCCGTGGGTGGGTGTCAAGCCGGGTATTCGGCCCCACTTGGCGCCTGACGCGCGTTAGTGCTCCCGCAGTGAGAAGGGCGTGAAGCGCCGGTGCCGCCACCCCTCCCTAGTGCCTGGGCGGAACCCGGATTCTGCCTGAACGTCTAGGTGTGTGATGGGGGGGATCCCCTGGGTGTACCCACCTACACTCGGCAGCTCGCCAGAAAAGCCCCTCACCTTTACCACCAGAAGGGTTATTAAGCTCTTTCAGCGCTGCGTTGAGGTGCCACGACCCGAGTTTTGGGGTTAAACCCGGGTTGGAGAAGTGCGGTGGTGCGACTGGGTCGCAGGCAGCCAGGTCACCGCACCTTAGGAAATCACGCTGTCTTTCTGTCTGGATTTCTGTTTTAAAAGCCTTTTTCAAGGGGCCCTCCTGACCTTGTGTCCCTTCCCTTTGGGCATAGACTTCCCCCTGCAGTACTGGGGTGGGGGCGCCCTCCTGATAAGACCGTTGCCATGACAGCCTGAGTTTCGGTTTCCCTGGAAACCTCGGAGGGTTCCGCGTGCCGGGAAGGAGGCTGTGGGGGTTGGGTAGGGCGGCCACGCTCGGCTGCCGCGGAGACGTACTCGGAACCGAGCCGTTGGGAGTGGGAGGGACTTTGGCTCCCGGATCGCGCTGGGGGAAGGGGAAGGCGGGAGCATCAAAGTGTCCCTGGCTCTCGAGAAGCTTGGGGGCCAGGTGGCAAAAAGGTCCTGTCGGGCCAGGAGCCAGCGGCGGGCGCCGCCCCTCCCCCACGGCCTCACCCGCGGGGGTCACAGTCCTGAGGTAACCGGAGCCTGACTTGTTAGGGGCGGAGGCGCTGCTTCGCGGCAGCTCCCAGCCTGCCGGCAGCTCCCTCCCCGCCTCCAGCTAACGCGGGCCTTTCCGCCCGCCCTCCGGGCGCGCCTCCAGACAGCTTCCCGGCACCCTCGAGGGGCGGGGCCTTGCCCGCCGATTGGCCGGCCCGGCGGGGGCGGGGCCCTGGGTGCGCGAGGGAGGGAGCGCGCGGCTGGGAGTGACGGCGGAGCCCTGGCCGCGTGGGAGCGCGCGTGCCCCAGGAGGGGCGGGGTCTCGCGGGTTGGGCCGCTCGGAGGGGGCAGAGATCGGGCTTGGGCTTTGGGAAGGAGCGGGAGGCTTATTTCGGGAAAAGGTTTGCAATATTTGAGTGTCACTGTTAGTTATTAGTCCTATAGTCGTTCACAGTGTCACGATCTGGGAGCAGATCTTTGGCCAAATGCTATGTATATCCGTTTTCTGTTAGTACAACGATGCTAGAGGGGGAGAAGAGGGGTGATGGGGAAGTGGGTTTGCAACACTAACTACAGGAATTATGGAACTATAGGAAGGGACGAATGGCAAGTTTCTCTTTGTGTACACATACCTTAGAACGCGGGCCTTTATATGATGTAGAATCTGCAGATCTGGACACCTGCGCTGAGAAGGAAACAGCATAAGACCCAAACAGTCTGTAAGACATACTTGGCCTGGTACTGGTAATGGAAGCAGAAAACTTGAAAGCCTTAAGTCCTCAGCTCCGTTTATTTATTCGTTTGGGTACTTCTGGGTAATCCTGTTTGATTTGGTGGGTAAACCAGGGAACAAAAACAACAGTTTGGGTCTATGCCCTCCTAGGTTTGGTCTTTCAGCAGATCCTAAGTAAACAAGAGGACTGTATGGAGGCCAGAGAAGGAATAGAACACAGGAGCTGTTCTGGGAGCTAGGGAGTTGTTGCTAAGGAAAGGGTGTTTGACTTAGACCACCTTCATTTCTCAGAGTGTACCAGGCAGAGTGAAGGGCAGAGACCCCAGAGCAGACCAAAGTTTCTGCAGCATGAGGAAGGAGGAGTTTTGGAGATTAAAGATGGCAGGAATGTTGCCATACAGAGTTGGGGGGGCCAGGAGCGGAGTAGGCAGTTGCCACAGGACTACAGAAAGACCGAGGGAATTTTTGGAAGAATTGTAGCACACCGCCACCCCAAACAGCCCCAGAGTTCAATGCCTTTGCACATTGAAGTATTCAGAGACAGGAAGAAGAGTAGGCAGTTACCAAACCATGAGCGAGGTCTTTAGATGCGAGCAGCTGAGATTAAGGTAGCCTTAGAAAGGAAATGGGTTTAAATGAAGCAGTGTGCTACAGTCAGTGCTCTGCCACTGAGCTACACCCCTTTTTAAATGAAGCAGTGTGGACTAAAGTTAGACCTGTGAGAACTCCAGGGGCTGCTAGAGAACTGGGCTAGGTGGGAAGAGGTTTTGACCCCTGGCATTCTTTCTCCCTGACCCAGAAGCCTGGTTTCTCCACTAGCAAAGTTTAGGACAGCTGCTTTCAACCCCCAGCAGACAGGTTTGCTTAAAGGCTGACTCCTCACAGGCCCCATTATTGATACAGCATGACAACTGGTGTCACTTTGAGCACTGGCCTCTTGGGTTAGAGCCAGGTGAGAAGCTGGTGGTGGTCTGTGTAGACATGGGTGGAGGGGTGGGCTTTCCTACGTCTTTATTACAGAAATAGAGGGAGGTCAGTAATCTCAAGGCTAGGGTGAGAGGGAGGGCATGTGTGCAGTATATAGGTAGAAGTATAAAGCTGCCAGGTTTCAGGCCCATAGAGCATGGTTGCATCTGGACTGTGTGTTGTACTGTTGAAACATATCTTACTTCTCAGGTGAGAAGTGCAGAGTTTGGGCAAATTGGACCTAGTTATTAGGCAGAACTGAAGAGATTGTGTTTCCCAGGCGGGGCACCTGAATTGTGAAAAAAGGCTGCCTAGAGGAAACAGAATGGGGGAATTTCAAGTCTAACTGTGCCGATTCTCCCATGATAAAGGGGACAGGAAGGAGGGGAAATAAGATGCTCTCCTCTTCACAGATTCTTCCCCTGGGGCTAAGATGGCATAGCTTTGTCCATGCCATCAGTAGAATAAAGGAATATAAGCTAGTAATAAAACAATTTTTGCTTTCGTTCATGTATTGAGGTAGCAACACAAAACACAAAGTATTTTTTAAAGATTTATTTTACTTATGCGTGCATACAAGCACTAGGTGTAGGCCAGAGAGGGTGGGGGAGAGGATTCACCAGACACAGAGCAGGGAGCAGAACTGACACACAGATGAAGTGCACTGCAGAGGGGAGCAGGGAGAGAGACAGGAGAGGTCTGGTGCACCTCCCTGGCTGGGGATCCTATAGCAGTGGCTACCCATAGCTTCTAGTGCTGAGACTTAACCCCTTGCGCCACCAGGGAGGCCAAAACAAAGTATTTTGGTGGTTGTATGAACCAGCATCTGATTAAATACTATCTGACTGTCATTAAATGCTCAGGTGTGCCAGTGCGGAGAAGGGCCTGGAGGACAGGAGGTTGTACTGGTGAGGGTGTGGCCTCTGTCTGGCCATTCCGGCAAGACTTGGAAGCTAGGAGCTCAGGAGCAGGACAGGTGAGACTGGGGAAGCAACTGGATTGCCCTTTGTAGCTAGTGGACCCAGTAGTCACAAAATGGCCTAGGCTGAGAAGCCAGCAACAGTGGCCTGCAAGACGGAAAGACATTTTAGCTTAATAGAGTCAGAAGGTGGTGGTAATCAGAGACTGGTGGCATGGAAGCGAGCAGAGAGTCGGCCTTTTGGAGAGCCTAATATGTCTTGGGGGAGGGGAAACTGGACCACTTCCAATAGGGGACGCACCCTGGGAGGCAGGCATCCAGCATCTATGCAGGGATCAACCTCAGAGGCGCAGGGCATGTGTGGACCTGGAATAGTTGGGAGGGACATGAACACCCCCCCCCACTCGATGTTCTTAACAGAGTGGTAATGGGTTCAGTGTCTTGGGAACGGGAACCACCCGGGACCGTGGTGAGGACAGATGCCTCTCCAGGTGTGCTCAGGTGGAGTCAGTGGTGCTGTAGCACAGCCCAAGCCACTTCTCATTGATCAGGTGTGAAAGGAGGGGCTTGGTTTGCACCCTGGGGAGCGTGGAGGGCTACAGACATGTGAAATGGGAGCATTGTGGAGACAGCACAAGTGGGCACTGTGGGCAGAAGCCTGGCTTGGAGAGGAGATGCAGAGCCAGCAGCTGCTGGCACTGAGACGGAGATAAACTCGGGGGCCAAGGAGATGACGTAAAGGCGGATGGGTCAGCCTTAAGGACACTGAGCTCCCCAGAGATGAGTGAACGACATGGAGAGAAGGGCAGGATTGTCTGGGTTCTTCAGAAGGTTCGCTTGTGACTATGTTGGTGACTGACAGAATGACACGAGTGGTGGCCTGGGGCATGACCTGAGATGTCTCTTGCCCTTTCTGTCTTTCTCTAATTGGAGGGAGAGGCCACCCGGGGAGTGGGTGGGGTAAGAGGTGGTGCTGCCTTTCAAGGTAAAGTTGAGGTGGGAGAGGGTCTCCATTCTGGGGAGGGCCTGACCTGATCTCTGTTTTCCTTCAATGGCACCTCCACCAAGCCCACAGTCCCCATGTCCTCATTGGGCAGAGCCATGACCAGAAGGTAGGTTTGGTCCCCAGCAGCCCCTGGACATTGCCTGCTTATCCCTGTGTGCTGGGGGATCTGGTGGTGAGTGTGGCTTTTGGGAGATGTTTGAAGTCCCTGGCTGCTGCTCAGGGAGTCCTGCTGTTCCCTGCCCTGTCCTCCAGTCCCTGAAGAGGAAGGAAAAGGAATATGAGCATGAGATGGAGCGGCTGGCGAGGGAGAAGATTGCCACACAGCAGCGGCTGGTCGAGCTCAAGCACGAGCTGAGCCAGTGGATGGACGTGCTGGAGATTGAGCGTGTGCTCCGGCAGACAGGCCAGCCTGAGGACGACCAGGCCTCCACCTCTACCGCCTCTGGTGAGCCTGTCTGCCACCTGCTCCGTGTTGCCCCCCCCCCTCGAATGCTAGTCTCCCTTTGCCTACTAGAAAAGATGCCCTCCACCCCCGCCCTGTTGCATCCCAGGGCCCCAGGGGCATCTGCTCCTCCAACCATTTCCCAAACCTTTCTGACCTGTCCCTGTCCCCATGTCCCCCCACAGAGGGTGAGGACAACATAGACGAGGAAATGGAGGAGGACCAGGCCGGCCTGGGCCCGCCTAAGCTGAGCCATCGCCCCCACCCGGAGCTGCCGAAGCCACCGCCCAGCACCGCCCCCGCGCCTCTGCCATCCCACCCACACCCTCACTCCCAGCCTGTGACCCTGTCTCCTGCCCACCTGCCTGGGCAGCAGCCGCCGACACAGAAGACACCTCTGCCAGCCCCTCCTCCCCCACCAGCTGCCCCTGCCCAGACACTGGTGCCTGCTCCAGCCCACCTGGTGGCAGCAGCTGGGGGAGGCTCCACGGTCATCGCTCACACAGCCACCACCCACGCCTCAGTCATCCAGACTGTGAACCATGTTCTACAGGGTCCAGGCGGCAAGCACATTGCCCACATCGCCCCCTCGGCCCCCAGCCCTGCTATGCAGCTGGCACCTGCCACACCCCCCATTGGCCACATCACAGTGCACCCTGCCACGCTCAACCATGTGGCCCACCTTGGCTCCCAGCTGCCCCTGTACCCGCAGCCTGTGGCTGTGAGCCAACCCGTGGCCGTGGGCCACATTGCCCACACCCTCTCGCACCAGCAAGTGAATGGCACAGCCGGGCTGGGTCCCCCGGCCACTGTCATGGCGAAGCCAGCCGTGGGGGCTCAGGTGGTACACCACCCCCAGCTGGTGGGCCAGACAGTGCTCAACCCCGTGACCATGGTCACCATGCCCTCCTTCCCAGTCAGCACACTCAAGCTGGCTTGAAGATGAGGCCACTCAGAGGCCCCCAGTGGGGGCAACATGGGGGACCTATCCCCCACTTTCCCACCCACCAGCTCCACACATTCCAGCCAGGCCCAGGCCCACCCCACCCACACCCACCCCCAGGCCTCCTAGGGGAAGGGGGTGCAGAGACTCTGAGCCAGGGGAGGGAGGGGCCACCCCAGGGAGCTGGGCACAGGCAGGGGATTCCTTCACTGCACTAGGACTTGATAAAATGAGAGACTGATGAACAAGCTCACGTTGGCCTGGTGCCAACTCCAGTGCCCTTCCTGCTTCTTCACCCTGTCCCCTGAAACCAGTTAGACGTGGATGTCATGTTCTCTGGCTTCCTCTACCCTGCCCGCCTTCCTTGCTGCTGCTGCTATTGCTTTGTCTGGGAGGGGGCCTGCCCCTCCCAAGCCTCAGCCTTCACTTCCCAGACTTTTGAAGGGGAAAAGGGGAAGCAGAACTGAAGCAACTTGGCCCAGAACTCTGGGGACCAGGGGCCCTGCTCTGAGTACAGGTAACATCCTAGGAACTCTGGGGACCAGGGGCCCTGCTCTGAGTACAGGTAACATCCTAGGAACTCTGGGGACCAGGGGCCCTGCTCTGAGTACAGGTAACATCCTAGGAACTCTGGGGACCAGGGGCCCTGCTCTGAGTACAGGTAACATCCTAGGAAGTGGCTGGTCTTGCGCTCCACCCTGCCTGGGCTCTCCAACCCAAATGCAGTCACTGTGATTCGTTACAGCAGAAACTAGTTAAGACGATTCTACCATCAGTAAACCACACCCAAGCTGTTACCAAGCTTCCTGAGCCCGCCAAACCTTGCCACCGGATTCTTGGTCCCAGGAGGGCAGGCAAAGGGTGGAGTGGAGGGGCTTGGCCCCCCAGCCTCATCGGTGGGCACACACTATCGGCCTCTGCTTGGTGCTGTGCACTCCCTGCAGGGGTGGTTTCCTCCTGCAGCCTGGGCGACGTAGACCAGCATCTGGTCTAGGATCCAGAAGCTTGGCCAGCCCCTTCCCAAATGGTCTGGGAAGCTGCAGCGGGAGCAGGGCCAAACAGTGGAGGGCTTGTGCCTCGGTCTCTACTCATCTTCCTGACTGTCCTTCCCTCCAGTGGGCTGTTCTGAGTGTACCCACCGTGGGGAGGCTGCCACTGCCTTCCTCTTCACTTAGCTGAGCTTGGGGTGGTGATGGGGGAGGGGCTGTGTGTGGGTTGCTTTCCCTGCCTCAGCCTACAACTTTGGCTTCTTCTATGTGGGTATTCATTACAAGTGGCCTTTGTGTCAGACACTCAGTTACACACACACATGCACACTCAGCTCCCCACCAATGGCCTTTCAGTTTTGGGGGGGAAGGAAAGTGTCCCTAGGTGTGAAGTCTGTGTTGACAGGCTGGGGGAGGTGACAGTGTCAGGTGGGATGAGACAGAAATCAACAAAGATCTTGAATAGATTTAAACACCTAATAATCCCCTTTCATTTTCTTCCTGGTCCTGGGGACTTTCCAGGCAACTGTTTTCTCATCTGTTTCTCCTTGGGGTGGGGAAAGGGAAGGCCTTTGATGCCTTAGAGGCCTCTGGGTAGGAGCCCCTGTGCCAGCCCAACTCAGTGCTCCCTCATAAGCTTGCTGCCTTTCTGTACCTGCAGCCATCTCCACCCTTATTCCAGCAGGAGCTGGTTTCACAAATTCCAGTGATTTATGGTGAAAAGAGCAGAGGGGAGATGGTAGGCTTGGCACCCAGGGAACAGAGAAGCATTGGCGAACTTCCCTCGGCTCTGTTCTCCCTGGTTCTAGAGGCAGTTCAGAGTGCCCCCGGCCTGCAAGATACCTCATCTGCCTGCCGCTCCCCCCTTCCCCCCCCAGCAGTGGGGGCCTCCGAATCTAGTGCCGAATGACTATGTCCAGATTGGTGACAATGGGTGTTGTTGCTGTTACTTTGTTGTGTTCGTGAATGCTGTGACACTGTGTGCCCAAGAGAGGCAGCCTCCGGCCAGCCCATCCTTGGGCATCTCCCTCTAGAGCGGTCAGGACTGCGTGGGACTGCCTGCCCCCCCACCCCCTCCAGCCCGGGACTCCAGTGTGCATGGGCACACATACACATCTTACCTCTCATGCGTATTTTACTTTTTGATGTTCAGAGTGGCTCACTGGCTGGGAATCTTTACCTCGGGGAGAGGGGGAGGCTGGTTCCTTGGGGGAGGCCAAAGAAGGGCAGGGAATGCCTGGAGGGGAATGGGGTGATCATCATGACCCCTATACTCTCTAGGAACAGCTTCTCTCCCCTCCCAGGGTTCCACCCCCATCCCTCAAAGAGGTGGCCCTTGTTTACAGTGAGGACTCGGTCACTGTGTCTCCGTTTCCTGAAATATAAACTGTAGCGACCCCAGACTGTAGAGGTTTTTATGTGTTTGGATACATCTGCTGTGTGGGAAAAAAAAAAAAAAAAAAACTACAAAAACCCTAATTTTGTACATAATGTATTTTTACTATTGAACTGTACTCTAGTGGCTGTTCATGCTCCAAGACTTGAGGTATTGAGACATGAATACTATCCATGTAATAAGCACTTGCCTGGAATAAAATATAAAACAAATAAACCTGCACTGAAACCTGAGCTGGAGCTGCCAGCCTGCAGCATCTGGGTCATTTTGTTGCTAGAGGAAGCAGAGACTTGAGCAGAAGAGTTGTAAGCAGCCGGGTCCTTAACCTGTTACTGTGGGGGCGGGGGTGGGGTGGGCACAGTCCCCAAGCAATTTCCATGTTAGTCAGCTTTAGAAAAAATTCAGAACCTGCCTCCAATGCCCGATCAACAAGCTCTGAGAACTCTAGTTCTGTTCTTCCTTACACTTTTGCAATACTTATACTTCCTCAAACCATTTTTACAAACAGTATCTTGTTTCATCTGTAACAGCAGAGTGGGTAAATAAGCCAGTTAGCCCATTCTGGCAGTGAAGGAAACGGGTATGGTGTGGCGAGAGTAGGTCACACAGCGAGCTAGTGGGGGCCTGGTGGTGCGGTCAGATCGCAACTGTGCAGTCCTTCCCCCAGGAAGCAAGTGCCACCCACCCAGCCCTGGGTCTGGTCAGGACCCTGAGTTCCCTCAGGACCGCACCATGGGTGAGAAGCTTCTTGAGAGGGGATGTGTTTCTGGGCTTGTAAGAGCAGGTCATCTGGAAAGTGCTTAATAGTTGTCTTTTCAGGGAAAGGAACTAGAACAGGAAGAGCTGAAGGTCAAGGGTCAGAGCCATGGTTTAAGCTGGGTCTGGAAGACTTACCCCTCTAACATCTCTGCCCAATTTAGGGTAAGCCAGCTCTTTGGGAGGCTGCCCCTGGGGCAAATGGGGAGCTGAGAGCGCAGGGCGGGAGCCAAGCTGGACTGTGCAACACACCTGGCAGGTTACCGCCTGCCTTTTCGAAGTGCCTGACACCTGCTTTACTCCCCGCCCCAGCCAGAGGAACTGACTCAGCTTCTTGGAGTGGGCCTGCAGCTGTGAGGTGTTATCCGTAAGGAAGGAAATGGTAGCCACTAAAGTCTTGGGGTCCCATTCTCTGAAGAGTCAACCTCAGGAAACTCGCGCCAGAGTCCCACCCTCTGGCCCCACCACCTAGCCAGTTCCTTTCACTTGTGAGATGCTGGCTCCCTCTACTGGTAGTTTTAGGAAGAACTGGGTCCCTTGCACTTAGAGAAGGCCTCGGTGTGGGAGAGAACTTTCTGAGCACCTACAGTGTCAGCACTGTGCCCAGTCCTGGGGACAGAGATGAAGACCATGACCCTGGCAGGAATGATCCAAAATCACCTGAAGGCTACCACTGTATCTCAAGGGTGGGCAAAGCTCCCCTTCCTGTACTCCAAGCACAGTCCCTCAGCACAGCTGAGGCTGTGATCAGGGTAACAGGAAAAAATCCCAAATAGGAATCTAGGTGCTTCCATTTGCCAGCTCCCGCCGTGTGAGAGAGGAAGTGGCCCCTCCAGAGCAGAGGATTCTGATAGGCCGCACCAGTGCCCTAACGTGTGCTTCTTACTCCTTTCTCCACACTGCCCTCAGCTACCCCAGCACTTGGCTGTGCAGAGCAGGAAGGGTGGGAGAGTGTGAAGGAGCCAGTCCACTTCTAGGTTAGTCTATCAAAGGCCTTTGATGAGCTTTCAAGTGGAGTCACCCAGTAGGGACTGGGTTGGTATGCTACAGGGCTTTTAAGGTTCCCTGGCTCCAGGGTTCCTGACATCAAATAGTTTCCTTGCTTGGGCAGCTCTTAGTGAACTAACAACAGAGCCCTAAGTGCCCAGAAAGCCAGCTTCCCCTACCCACTGACCACTTGCCCCTTTACCTGGAATCATGCATGATGGCGGCAGTGGTCCTGAGGGGTGGGGAGGGCAATCGAAAGCCTATTATACTCAGGTTCTTCCCATCTCCCAGCAGTTTTGACCCCTTCTAACACCTCCCTCCCCTCTCCCCCAATGCTCCAGCCTGAAGCAGCCATCTCAAGGCAACGTTCAGGAGTCAAAGTCAGAGAAATGGGGTCCTTCACTCGCTGGCAGGGCCCGAGAGTTTCCTGCAGATTCCCAGTCAACTCCAACTCATCACTAGCCAGGCAGGAGGGCAGGCGGGCAGGGAGACCGGGGGAGGGTGGGACAGAGACCGACACATCAAGAGGTTGGGCTGGCCACTGGTCGGTGTGAGTTAGGACCCCTGGCTCGGGTGAGGTCCCTCCAAGGGCTCTCCCCAAGTGCTTGGGATCTGGCCACCAACTTCCCCTCAACCAGCTCATACCTGAGGTCTCCTAGAAACCAGGCTCTCTTCACTATCCTTCCTTGGAGGGCCAGCCCTCCTGCACTCCATAGTTAACTTACAGAATTCCCCAGCACGAAGTTACTCACTGTCCACGCCAGCCCACCAGTAGCCCCCCAGAGCCTCAAGCATTGCCAAATGCTGTTTATTGGTCTATTACACTGAAGAGTATAGTTTCTGAGCCAAAAACAAAAACAAAAACGTACACATTCTGCTCCTCACAAAACCAGAGTCACTAAGGCAGGTGCACGACAGCCACCGTGTTGGTGGAGACAGGGTGGGAGTGGGGCCGGCTAGCTCCCAAACAGGCCGTGAGCCCCAGGAGCAGGGGTGGGCTAAGGGGGCTGTGCTGGATGCAGGGGGCTGCTGGACCCTATTTTCAGATGCGGGAAATCTCTAACCGTAGTGGCAGAGTGGCCTTGCCCTAAGGCCTAGCTGGCATGTGTTGGGGGAGGGGCAATGGAGGGGAAGGAAGTGGGGATGACAGAGCAGTGTACCTGGGCCTGGGGTCAGAGCTGGGCCCTTCTGAACACTTCGAAAGTGAGGCTCCTCTGAGGGGACTTCTGGGCCCCTTGGCCTCTTAAGCATCCTGAGAAGCCAGTGAAAGCCAGAGCTGGCCTTGCTTCTCATCAGAGACCCCCCACACACACCTTCCCTCAGTCCCAGGGACTCAGAAGATGCCTGGGCTGAGCAGTGGGCCACCCCCACCTGGGCCTGTCCCTGAGAGGAGGCTATGACAGGATTGACTCCCTAAAGAACCTTCCTGAATTCCTGTGAGAGCAGGGACTCTCACCAGATCCCAGATCATCCAGCTGGCAAAGTGTCCTTTATATTTCCAGGGATGCAGCTAATGCATAAAGCAAGAGCATGGTGACAAGAGTGAGACTACAAGCTGGGGTGGAGGGGGGCAGTGATGGGGTCATCTCAGGTGGCCAAAGCCAGTGGCAGTGCTACTGAAGTGGGTACTTCCCACCCAGGGCCCACACCCAGCTGCCCAGGCTCAGGGGAGGGCCCAGAGGCAGCCCAGTGCCCTAAGGTCCTTTAGGACACAGACACAAGCCCAACTGGCAGCGGTTCTGGCTGCTCCAACGGAGCTGGTGTGCGACATGCACAGGACGTGTGAAGGGGCTCACAGAGGAGGGCGGCAGAATCCCCCGGCCCCACCCTTGTCAGGTGGGGGGACCCAGGCAAGGACAGCGCTGCTAACTGCAGACTGACCTGGGAGATGACGTGGGCAACAGTCCAGGCCAAGGCTACAGGTGGCAGTGGGGCTATTCCCAGGCATTTGAGGGGCACAGGAGGTGTCCCCCAAGAGCCATTCCCTGAGGCCAACCCCTCCCACCCTGGCCCTGACCTGAGGGCATCCTGGTCCCTTACTTGCCCTGCAGGGCTAGCATGGCCCTGAGTCGATCCCAGGCTCACAGCGCTTTGTTAGGAACAGAGACGGGCAGGCAGAGTTGGCTGGGGTTAGGGCTGTCTTGGCTGTGACACCCCTGCATCTCCCTGCAGGGCCCCGAGACCTGGAGCCCAGGCTCTGGCAGGTGCTGCCTCCTGGCTACAGCCTTCACTTGTTCTCTATGAGCATCTGCACCTTGTGGACGAGGTCCCGGGCAATCCGCAGGATCTCCTGGGCGTCGTGACGCTCAGCCCGTTCTGGGAGAAACACAGATACCTGTGGGGACTCTGGGGCAGGACAGGAGTCTGGGAGGGGCCCTGTGGTACCCACCCTGTTCCATTTCCATCTGCTTATGCAGAAGGGCCCAGGTGTTCCTGAAAGTCCCTCCAACCCAATCCACATCCCCGCTGGCAGCCAGGGTGGCTGGACCAGCTCCTACCATTGAAGAACTTGATGATGTCGGTGAAGTCCATGTTGTTGTCACGGATTATCTCACGGTAGGCCTCCACCAGGGCCAGGGCAATGAACAGGACAAAGTGCTCTGAGGAGATGTGCCGGGCCGCCCAGATCGCCTCCCACACAGCAAACACATCCTCATACAGCAGCTCTGAGGACAGTGGGAGCCTGAGGTGAGCCTGGCTCCCCCCAGGCAGTTTGGAACTGCTTTAACCAGGGCAGCAGAGGTTGAGAATCTCGGACTTTGGGGACGAGAGCTCTCCCCACTGACCCTCTTACCTCTCTTAAAATCCAGCAGGAACCAGCGGTAACAGAAGTAGAAGTGGGTGTAGTCTCCATTCTGATGCATCAGCTCAAACAGCTCTGAGTCCAGGATCTGGTGTGCACAGGAAAGCGGGCTGGACCGACCTGTCGCTCCTCCCCAGGCCCCTGTTCTGCGCTTGGGCCCCCTTCGTCACCTTGGGGTAAACTCTTGGAATTATACCATTTTCTGGGTGCTTGATTTGTCATGGACCCCACTACTCACCAGAACTTTCTTAAGCACAAGCATTCACAAGCTGACACACCTTAATTTGTAACATTGAAAACAATGCTTTTTTTTTTTAATGAAATTCATTTTATACATAAAGGACATTTTGAAGCTCCCTGTCCTCCCTGTGAATGACCCAGCCTGGTGGTGCCCAGAGTCAGCTGTGGCGCTTACCTGGATGAGGGAGCGCATGTTGGCAAAGTGGGTGTCCATGGCACCCCCATTGGGGAAGTTCTGGCTCATCCTCTTCATGAGGTGGCTGAAGCAACTGTAGGCCAGCTGGTCTGAGGGGAGACTGGAGTGAGACGGCAGGCAGGAGGCGCCAGCACCTCACTTCACAGGGGTGTCCTGTGGCCCAGGCATCCGGGCTGGTTTTCACCCCCAGCCTCCCCAACCTTGCAGCTACGTCAACCCAACCCCAATCCCATCTGGGGAAGCCCTCTTCCACCCAGCCCCTCACCATTGTCCAGGATGACCAGGAGAGGTGCCAGCAGGTCGCACATGCCCTGCACATAGCCCACGTCCAGGTGCTCCCACACGTAGCTGAAATGCCAGGGACAGAGTCAGTATGAGTGTGGCCCGCCCCCCAGAGCAGCTCCCACTCGGAAGCCAGCCTTTCTTTAGAGCGCTGGACAGAGAACCACCCACCCGCTGCTCAGGGCATGCAGGGGCTCAGGAAGAGAGCGCACAGTCAGACCCCCCGGGGAAGGCCGGGGCTGGGGCGCCCTGGGCTTCCTGCACGAGTATGCCAGGAGCTGAGCGCAGAGAGGCCTCTGGGAATGCAGAGAGGCGGGGGCGTGCGTTACAGGGAAAATGCAGCCCAGAAAGAGGGAGCTGGCCATGAGTCCGTGGAGAGCAGAGCAGCAGGGTCCCTGCCTCGCGCCGGCCCTGCCCCCCGTGGCACCTGCACATGATGTCTCTGAGCCTCTCGAGGTTGGGGGCCGTGAAGTACCAGTAGTTGCGATCACATCGCTGCACATCCTTGTCTATGCGGTGCAGGTTTAAGGCCACAGTGTCCAGCAATTCTATCTGGAAGAGGGGAGGGCCCTCGGGGGTAAGCGGGGGGGTGCTGGGGGTGATGCCCAAGCAAAGGAATGCAGCAAAAGCAGGAGACCAAGGGACTCGGGGAAGAGTCCTCTGGGGAAGCTCAGTGCTGCTCTCCAGGACAGTCAGGGCACATCCCCACTCTTCACCCCACCAGCCTATCCCCCAGCCTGGAGTGTCAGGAACGTCCACATACAGTGTAGGCAGCAGCACACACAGCCGCAAGCTCCTCCCCTGCCTCCAGCTCACTGGTCCGAGAGGCCTTCTCCTGGGTGGGGTCGCCAGGCGGCGGGAAGGCGCGGGCAGCCGGGACCAGTCCGTCGCCGCCTTCCTCTGCACCGCAGTCGTCCTCCTCGAAGCCCACACTCTGCCCCTCATCTATGCTGGACTGGATGCCTGAGGTCACGGAGTAGTTGCGAGAGGACGGCAGTCCTGAGTCTGGAGAGTCAAACTCTACTGACTGCTGCTGTTCCACCATGGCGGTGCCCAGGGGCCCAGCTCCCGCTTCCTGCTCGAGCTCTGCTCTGGAATCTTCAGTGCCTGGGGGCTTCGGGGGCTCCAGTTCATCCACAGAGATAAATACCTGGTGGAGCGAACAGGTGGCAGGGCTCACACCTGCACTCAACGCCTTCCCTCAGCTCCCGCCTCCCTTCCTGGAGTCAGACCTGAGAGGGGCGCAGACTTCTCTTCACTACCCCTACTCGCAGCCCCTGGGCTGTGACACTGCTCCCCCTGGCACCAGACCTCCCCTTCTGACCCAGCTGACCAGGTGGAAAGAAATCGGGCTCTGGACAGACACGAAGACACCATCGTCAGTCCTACCCTTCCTCGGGCCTCTCTCTAAGGTATGAGAAAAAGTGTGAAGCACCCCAGGGCTTCCTGTGGCTACTGCAGGGAAGGGGAACAAGAAGCTTGGTGGCCAGCAGGAGCTAAGTGTCATCCACAAACACCCAGAGTCGCCAGGCTGCCTTGAGTCGGAAGAGTGTGTCAGTGGCTGGTGTGGCTGCTGAGGCAGAGTGGGGGGCAGTAAGTGTTAGGGAGAGCCAGTTCCTTTTTTTTTTTTTTCCTTTTATCAGTCAAATTGCTGAGAAGAAAGGAAAACTTTAGCAAGTACCGAACCTGCTATATTAGCTTCAGACTAGTCGAGGAAAGGTGAGAAGTGAATGGAAACATTCTACGGATGGGAAGCCTCCCACCCCGTGGACAAGTCAGAGGGAACACGGGCCATCTAGACTGTGTTTTCTTTTCTTACCTAGGGAAAAGGAAACTAAAAGTAGTTTTCACTTTGGGCAGGCAGTAGTCAGTGTTGCTGCACTGGTAGCCAGGGAGGCTGAGATTCCGAGGCAGCCGCGCCCCAGCCTCGCGCCAGCACGGGAGACAACTGCCGTCGCCCCGAGCAGCTGGGGCTCTAGAACACTCAGGATCTCACAGAACCCAACAGAAAGAGAGAAAGGGGACAGATACCCGAGCTGGAGATTAGGAAAAGTGCGTGGAGAGGAGTGAGCCTCGTTTGTCATATTTCTTTAATTCGTGCTTCAGCCTGAGTTTTCCATTTGTATCAGCAAGGATTTAGTAGAGTAACAAGAATATGCCTCATCTAAACTAGTAACTTTAGAGGAAAAAGAAGCTCATGGAAGAGTGTCCTCAAAGTGAAACTTGTCAGCTCTGCGTGGGCTCTAGTTGGAGACCTGCTGATCGCGAAGCAGGGACGACACAGCAGAACCAAGCGGCTCTGAACCGGCTTTGCCGTCGGCTAACCAACGCCGCGGTGGGGGGAGACCTTGCCAGTGGACACCGACGGACCTTACTGACCGCTCCCTGGCCTACAGCTCCAGTGAAGCGCTACAATCAGCACAGAAGAGCTACGAGGGACGAGACCCAGAGATGATGACAAGCCGTCACCTCGTCTCAGTGGACCCTAGAAGCCTGTCTGCTCCAGGCCTCGAGGAGGCTTCCAGGAGGCCGGGCTTTTAAAATCCCCATAAATCCATCTCTCCCTTCCAGCCCATTAGAACCGAACACAGTGTACCATCTCACTTTATTCCTGCAGCGGCAGAGGCAAGGGGTCACCCCATTTTCTGGTGGAAGAAATGGGGCGCAGACATTTTAAGCCAGTCTCTCAGGGCGCCACTGCAGGGAGCACTAGCGGTTAGGCTGGTGCTCGGGACTCCTGTGGATAAAATGCTCGTGACCCCACCCTGACCCCCCAGGTTCCATCTGGCTCACGTCATTGCTGATGGTAGAATCTCGGTGGATGAGGCGCTGCACGTGGCTGTCGATGCTGCTGCCTGAGGAGAACTTGGTGAGTGTGGCTGGGTGAGCCTCGCGCTCCCGCTGTCTCACCGCCACCTCGCAGGCCTTCCACTCTGCCAACACCCGCTGGTACCTCGCTGCCACGGCTGCGTCCACCTGCGCTTGGATCACACCATGACCATCGGGGGAGGTGGACCCCAGGCCCTTCTCTGTGGGGGCTGTGACGGCTGGAGACTACGGTCAGGCCCAGGGGGGGAGGGGTGGAGCTGCTCTGCTGACATTTTCTTCTGTCTCATTGCCAGCTGGGAAGAATCTGCGGCATCGGGAGCCCCCCTCCCGCAGGGCCCTTGGCCAGGTCCACTAACTGACCCTCATGGGAACGGCTACCCTTACCTGCCCCATTTCCTTCTTGGTCATGCCAAACTTGTAGTGGCCAAGCAGAAAGGGCCAGACTTCCTTGCGAATCTCATGCTCCACACCGCCATAGTAAACTTGCCGCAGCAGCTCCAGCTCTTTGTAGTTCTAAGGAGCCAAGGGAGTAGAGAATGTCCCGCTGGTCACTGCAGCCCATCTGTGCGGCCCAACCCCACGGATAATGGAGGCTGGGGATGATAATGCGCTCCACCGAAGCCCAGGCGAGCCCCGCTTTGGGCTGGTCATGTCCTCTCCACCCCAGACTAGTGCCGGCTTAACTTCTTCAACCCTCCTTCCTTCCAGGGCAGAGAACAGAGCCCAGAGAGATGCAGAGGTTTGCCCAAGGCTGCAGAGTAATGCGGAAGCAGAACAGAACGAGGCTGGGTTCCATGGAAACCCACAGACCCGGCTGTCCGAGATTCTACCGTGAGCCAAGCCATGGTCTTCAGCCCCAGCCTGTCAAGCTGACATCTACTGCGTTCTAGCAGAAGGCCCACTTGGTGTGCAGAGCTGCCTCAGAGCGGGCTGTTCCACACTGCCTGACCCCCAGAGTGCGCACCTTTTCATCCTTCTGGTACTTGCTCCACACATCCTTGGTGAGGCCCCCGGAGGCTCCGGGGGGCCGGGTGGGTGGGATGATGTTGTGATGCACCAGCGCTGACAGGTGGGTCCGCACTGTGGACAGGTGGCGGCAGTAGGCCAGCCCTGTGGGAGTCGGGGGGAGCCGTGACCGCTGTGCCTGCCCTCCCCCACCCCTCACAGCCCCGCCTCAGCCCACACTCACAGCCGTAGAAGGCCCGAGACACGATCTGCTTCTTCATGCTCTCACACAGCAGCCTGAGGGGCAACCTGCAAAGACAGCCTGGCTCAGAGGGCGAGGGCTACGGCCTCTAGCGTGAGGGAGATGAGAAGGACATTCTGGCCAGGTCCTCAGGGTAGAAGAGAGCAGCATCCACTGCCCGGCAGCACGCCAGCCGGCCCCACCCCTGCCAGGCACACTGGATAGGGCTGATTGGGGCCCGGCCCAGCCTCCCACCGGAGGGACCTTGGGCTCCTAAATTCACACTTATGAATCTGAGTGTCCTCACATGGGAGTAGAGAGGATCATCTCAGGGTCACCAGGAGCACCGGTGACCTAGCAGCAACACATACTGGCAAAGGGCCTCCCACATATGCCATCCACACACTCCCTGGCACACGGCAGGCGCCAACTCTCCCCTCCCTGCATGTCCGCAGAAGAACAGTCTGAGGCAGGATGTCTGCCTGGGAAGATGTGCTTACAAGCAGTGTCACCTCCCAAGAGCCAGGCACAGCTCTGGGCACTCACACGAGTTACGTGCACCACTCAGTCTTCACAAGTTCCCTAGGAGGCAGGTATTGGCCCCATTACACAGATGAGGAAAGTGAGGCTCAGGAATGTGGAGGCTTACAAAGACTCGGTCATGAACAAGATCACATGGAATGCAGAAATGAAGTCCCGACTCAGGCCCGAAGTTGAGGCAGTCCTGCCAGGCACGTGACACAACCCCGAGGGGCAGCGCCACGCATGCTTACGGACACACACAGGAGGAGCTGGGGTGCTGGGCGCCGCCCACTCACCGGTCGGGGACACAGCCGCAGTGGCTGGGGGCTGCGTATGGGGAGCTGCCAGCAGAGCAGGAGAGGCAGGAAGAGCCTTGGCCGCACAGGGGCTCCAGGTGCCAGGCTGGCGGGCTGGGCCCGAAGCCCTGCATCTCGATCATGTCGCCAGCGTCTGAAGGCAGGAAGGGGACAGTTAGGACCCGGCCGGTCTCCCCGCCCAGGCACGCTGTACAATGCCCACCTCCATTCCCAGAGCTGCAGCATGGTGTCACCCTTGGAAAACCACAGGGCCAGTGCTGCCTGGTTCAGAGCCCAGAGATGGAAATGGTAGAAAAAGAGGGCTCTTGCCACCTCCCGGCTTCCACCTGGTCTTTCTGCACATGATAAAGTACTTTGAGTCATGGGTGTCTCTCTGTCCATCTTGCTATCAGCAAGGTAATAAACGTTAACTTTTCTAGAGGGATGAGAAAGAATTGAGAAGGAACAATGAAAGCCTGAGTTCTCTAAAAGGCCACCAGCTAGCTTGGCCCTCAAGGATTCAGCCTGCTCCTTCTGGGCACACTGAGATGCACAGGCAGGTGCCGGGAATGCTGCAGACTTTGAGCCTTCCCGTGCCAGGGGCATCTCCACTGATCAAAGCCCGTGAGGGCCCCTGAGCCACCTGTCCCGTCTGCAAACTTAGCTCCTCTGACGGGTTCTAGAGCTGGTGGCGAGTTGCTAAGCAGGAGCAACGCTTCCTGCCCAGGCCAGGCACCCCTGCTGCCAGCTCGTGTGAGACCTTGCTCAGTTTACCATCCCCACCTATTCTGACGGCACGGTGGCCTCCCACAAACACACAGGCAGCCAGGAGCAAGGGGGAAATTCCCAAGGCTGCCAAACTGCTGTGAGGGTGAGGGAGAAGGTTCCACCATCCCAAAGAAGGTGCCCTGGTGCAGCCTCAGAAGACAGCTCCTTGGTCACATATGTCTACAGCAGAAGAAGATGGAGCCCTCTCACCCAGCTCAGCAGGGCTGAGTCAGAACTCCAGCCCTGAGAGCTTCTAAGGCCAGGAAGAGCAGGGCACTGCTCACAGGAGATGTCCCCCGCGGGTCCAGTGAGTCACCAAGATGAAGGAAAGTGAGGGCAGGAAGTAAACGGACTGGGAGATGATGCCAGGACAGAAGGAGGGAGTAGAATAGAGGGAAGAAGAGACAAGAGAGAGGACTGTGTGTGCAATGAAGAGACGTCTTTCAACTGTACTTTTCCCTGTGAATCCCGGCCGGGCCTGGCCTGCTCTGAGTCTGGAGCAGACCTAGCCCCAGTTTTTGTGGGAGCAAGACTCCAGCTGGCTGTGTCTTAACGGAGAGGGCTAGGCTGAGGCCCTCAAGTCCCTTTGGGGGCTACTCAGGCTTGGTCCTGGGGCTCTATTCCCAGACCCCTTGACTAGAATTGTTGTAAAGATTTGGTCCTTCAGCTCCACCAGGAAGCAAATTAAGGGAACGTTCTTGGTGAGGAGGGACTGTGGCTCTGGTAGTGAGGGCATGCAAGCCATGCCCGAGACTCTGGGGGGAAGGCGGCGGGAGGGTGGGGATGGGGGGGATGTCAAATGCAGGTGGGGTGGGGCAGGGGCTCAGCTTAGGTCCCCGAAGCAGGCGGGAGAGGCCAGTCCTGGGAGGAGCCAGGTAGGAGCAGGCCTGGCCAGGCAGGCAGCAGGCAGCAGGCGGGCAGGCAGGGAAGGGGGTGAAGGGTACCAGTACGGAGGGTGGGCACACAAGGAAACAAGCTCATGCCCAGAAAGCGGGACCCAACCAAGGCAAGACTCCTGGGTTAATGCTCTTCACCTTAATTCTCCAGGAAGGAGCTGAACCAATCAGCACTGAACATTGCATGTCTGAGTGAACCCAGTGCAGACAGCTAGAGTTCTGGGCAGGGGCAGCAGGCTGGATGGGAGGTGGGGGTCTGCTGGGCCAACTGCGACTCTGACTCTCTCCTCTGAGCTTGAGGAAAGTTGGAAGCAAAACCATCAGGATGGTTGAACCCCACAGCCCCTAAGATGCCGAGTGAAAGGTGTCTGGCCTGAAGCAGAATTAGAGTGAACAGCATCTCTGCTCCGGGAGAGGCAGCAGGAAAAGTGGGGAGGGGGAGGAAAGTCTGGACACCCGCCACTTGATTCACATGCACAAGTCAAGCATGTTGCAGGCCTGGAAAGCAATGGCTAGCAGACGGACTCAACAGTGTTGTCATTACGGACTGGAGTGGACGTTGCGGCTCCTGCTGATCCTGCTCTCCTGCCCTTTCCTAAGTATTGGGGTCCAGACACTATATACTTGTTTCGCCTAGTGCCCGAGTTTCCCAAGAAGATACCCGACAAGCCTTGAAGGCCTTTGGGCCTGAATGTTTCTCTGGCCCTAGGAGTACAGCGTTAAGACCCCTCAGGGATGGAACTGCTTGCACTATGTCTGCCAAAACAGGGGTTCTGTTTGGATCCCACGAGTTTCCAGCCTGGCTGCCACTTCATGGGGCAAGGAGCTCCCTGGCTTTCTTTGGACTCAGCCTTCCCACATTCTCAGAGTCAGTTAGCCTACGCATTAGCACCAAGCCCAGGTCTGCAGGGAGCCAGATGGCAGCTGTGTGCAGGCATGAGCACCACAAGTGATGCTCCGCAGGGTTCTGAGCTGGAACGGGCCTTCAGGCGCCTACTGGCAGGGCTGGGACACAGGAGCAGGCATGTGGTGGGTTAGTGGGCAGCTGGCAGGGCTGTGCCGAAGATGTTGGAGGCAAAGGTGTGCTAAGCCCCAGACCTAGGTAGGTAGGTCGCTTAGGCAACTCGTTACTGGCTTGGTGGCTGAAATAAGGAAGTGGAATCTTTGGGAAACCTTTGTGGATACCTAAGGAGAATATTTGACATATTCTTAGATGCCCTCTGGACGGGAAGCATAAGGGGGGAAGAAATTAATTCCGTGGCACGAGCAGGGTTAGGGATGGGACATTCCCCTGAATTCAAAGAACTGGCCTCAGCTCCTTCTTAACCAATCTGGCTTCAGGCACCCCAGCCTAGCCCTCAGTTTCTAGACTGATCACTTCAAAAATGAGTGGGGCTTCCTTTCTAGCAACTAGCTCTGCACAGAGGCAGAGAAAGCAGAAGGCAGCGGACAGAGAAACAGACACTGCAGGTCCTATACTGTGTTGTCACCTCTAAGGTCCACTGAGGAGGAGACACGACTGCTTACAGCCCCAGCGCCAAGAATTCTGGACCTCACGCTAAAGCGCTGGGCGGTGCCTACTGCAGCCCTGAGGACTGTGGGAAACTGCCTTCGGCCTCTGTCCATGGTGACCACAACCCCTCGTGGGGCCCACAGACTCATCCACATGACCTGTCCAACCCCACCCCTGTCCAGGAAGGACCTGGCACCTCTGCCCTGCCCCACTTAGGTCAGGGGCCAGAGGGACAGGGGCCAGAGGCTGGTCTTCCCAGCCAGCAGGAGAGAAAGAGGCAGTCTTGGATTTGCCAGCATGACCCGCGGGAGTGAAACTCAGGCTGAGGGTGCCACTCAGGGTTTCCGAGAGACAGCCTGAAAAGCAAAGCTCCCTACTGCTGGGTCTTCCCTCTCGGTGCGAAGCCCTCTCCTTACAGACTCAACAAGGAGCCCACAGCCCCCTGCTCTTGCACTGTCTCCTCTCCTCTCCAGCACCTCCTACCTCTCTCCCTGACCTGCCTCCTCCTAGGAGGAGCCTCCCGTCACAAGTCCCATAATGCCAACACTGCGGTGGGAGCCCCTGCGATGGGTGGCAGGTGGGCCCAGGGGGAGGTGGGGGTGGGACGGGCAGGGAGGGGGGCGGGATAAAAACCTTTCATCGGATTGGGAGCTGTGAGGTTCCGCGAGCAGATCATTGAGAGCATCGCGTGCAGCTTATCCTCCTCTTCCTCATCATCGTCCACCGAGGCCGTGCGGCTGGCCGCTAGGTGGTGGTAGTTAATAGTGACTGCTCAAAGAGAACAGCGAGAGAGGCAGAGGCATGAGGACCCTGGTCCCCAGACTCCCTCCTGGGGGGCGGAATAGAGTCTGGGTCAGCTTGAGCCTGCAGGGCCTGAAGAGGGAGGTGGGGAACCTGAGTGGTCTTTGATGGCTCATTTGGCAAGGGAGGTTTTTCCCACTGAGCACCATTCCCCGATGTGTTTGGGGGAGTAAGGAAGGCGGTGGGGGCAGTCAGAGCCACCGAGCCCTGCTATCAGGAGGTCCCCTCTAGGAAGAACAAAGCGAGAGAACCACCAGGGGGCCCTGCGTGTGGCCCCCAAGGCTGGGCACAACTGCTGGCAGATGATCCTGACCGCTCTTCAGCTGGACCAAATCGGAAGGTTACTCCGAATCCCTGAGGCAGACTATAAATCCAGCCTTCTCCAAGTGTTTTCCCAGAGCTGCTCTTGAGGAGCCTGAGTCGCCCGCCAGGTGTGAGCTCCTCGGTGCTCCGGCTGGCCCTCTGGGGAAGTCGCTCTACGTGAAATGACCAGAACTGGGAAACACCAAGGTTTGAGGAGCGGAAGTGCAGACTGAATAGTCAAAGCCGAGCAACAGCCTGAGAGTAAATGCCAGGTTTGCGAATGCATTCTGACGAAAGGTGTGTCTCCTAACCAGGCACGTCTGGGAGGAAACGGGGCTCCCCTCTCCCATGGCTCCTCGAAGCTGCCGCACCTACTTGTGTTGTGGTTAAGTGTCTGCCCTCTAGGGACTCTGTCTGTTAACACAGACACAACTTGATGACAACTTACTGGCACAAGTTTGGAAATTTAAGGAGCAGGAGGCCTAGCGGGCAGTGAATGCTCTGGGCTGGCCAGTTCCCTGGTCTTACCCCCAGGTCAGCAAGTCTGACCCAGAGCAAACCATGAGTAGGTGGCAACAGCACAATGACCACTCGGGGAACTCTGGTGTTGGCAGATACCTAGACAGGCCCTTGGTCTGGAGATGTGAGTTCGGGGGGCAGGACATGAGTCCAAAACCACGTTTCAGTCCCAGATCCCCCAAATCCCCGGCTGCTCCAAGTCTCATCCTCCAGCCAAAGCTCCTCTCAGTAGCTGGGATGCGCTACTGTAGGAGTCACAGGACATCAAAAAAGCAGCCCTTGAGCACACACCTATGCTGCCTATGAAGGGCGGAGGGAGACCAGGGAGAGTCCCCACTTTCTAGCTCTAGTCTCCCCACTTTATGTTCCTGACGAGGGGCATGAAAGAATGACTGAGAGAGAATACCGGGATGCTGGGCCTGTGGAGCCAAGAGCCTCGGGGTGACGAGGCAGGGGAAGAGGCTGGGTGGGAGAACAACTTTTCAGAAGGAGGATCTCTGGGAAAGAGGTCCAGTGTAAGTAATGACCCTCTCGTCTTAAGCTGGCCTGCTCAGCAGACCTGCCTGCCTCCCCTCCTGGGGGACACGGTGCTCCCCCACCTCCCTGCATGCCTTTTTCTCCTCCTCCATGAACAAAGTTCTGGACACTCACTGTGCTCATGCCTGTGGCCGGGATAAATGATCCGGAACACGTAGTCTGTGGCCCGCCCCATGCCCATGTCTTCCACGTCTACTGACCACATGCTGCTGCGCTTCCGGAGCTTGGGGAACACCTTCCCCTGTGGAGGGAGGAGGTGGTCAGCTAGAGAAGGCAGAGTCTGGTCCAGGGTCCCACCCAAGGCCACTCTTAAAAACCTCAAGTAGGAGAAAGAAGGGAGGTGGCAGAAAAACCCCTCACACACACATCTGTCCACCCAGAGCCACCCAAGCCCTGTGGTACCTTTCCCTGCTGGGTCCAGAGTGGGGGATCGAGCTGTCCTCGAGGCAGAAGCCCATTCTCCAGGCAGGACAGGAAGGACAGGAGGTGTCCTCCTTGGGGGAAGTGCAGCGGCGGCCTCTGGATACCATCCTGGCTCACCAGCACAAGCGTGCCACCGCTCTCTGGGGGTGAACATGGTCGAGAAAGGCTGGGGTTGCCCTGAGATCCCCCGCACCCCTGCAGCCCAGTCAGCCAGGCACTGCCCAGGCTGTGTAGGAGGACAGTGGGGTCCAAGCGTGGAGGTCAGCCAGGCACTGCCCAAGCTGAGTAGAGGTCAGTGGGGTCCGAGCGAGACAACAGGAGGAAGACAAATGTCTGGTGGGACATGCACTGTGCACAGCTGGAAGAAGGCAGCCTCCCCCTTCCCTCCCGTGCTCAGGGCGAGGGAGGCTCACTTTGCTGGTGGCAGTGGATGCAGACGATCTGGCTGAAGGGCACAACCAGAGCATAGTCCCAGTAAACACTGGAAAGGAACCAGAGCAGGTATCACGCTATCCCAAGAGCAGACACCCTGCCTTCCTCATTTCCCAGCCCTAATACCCACAACACTGCCCTGAAGCCAGGAAGGCTGTGGCCAAGACATGACCCCTGCCAGCCAAGTCCCTCTGGACTTGTGCTGTCTCATGGCACAGAGCCTGGCAGTCTCAGCTGCCTGGAGGTTGGCTCAGACACACCTCTTCATGTCCAGGCCTGGCTCAATCGCAGACAGTTGGGACTCTCTCCAGGTAGCCTCTTCCTTCAATTCTTGGCATTTGGGTAAGGAGTGAGGCCTGCCTCCTGCACCAAGCTGGGTCTCCCTACCACCCTGCTGGGGGCAAGCCCCCACTGCCCTCCCTGGGTCCCCGAAAGTGAGTTCCGAAGCCCCCACCTCTTTTCCAGCTCAGAGTCACCCAGAGTCCCATTCATGAGCTGGTTGGGGGTCCACTTCAAAGTCAGGCTGTCTGCAGACTGGTGAAGGGAGAGGTAGCCAGGGACGGCCTCCATGTCTTCCTTCTATACAGAAGACACACGCCAAAAGTCGCAGATGGCCAGGAACCATGAGGCACCTGGGGGAACCCGAGGACGGTAAGCTCCGGGGGGAGCAGAGAGCCCAGCTAGACCAGCAACAGGGGCCCGGACTGTGGCTGGGTGCAGCAGACACGGGCATCTCCTTTCCCGGCTGACCTGATGTGTCGCGCCCTGTCCTCGGCTCCTGGATGTCAGCTGTATCCTGAGACAGCCACACCCAGGCTGGGCACTGGCCCTGCCTGCTGGCTACCACTGCTGCCCCCAGACTCTTGGACCTTAGCTGGCCAGAGCAAAATCCGCCTATGGCTCCCACGGGCTGGAGGCTGAGTCTGCGGCATGTGAAGCAGGGGGATGGGAGGAGAGGCCCATCTCCCCCCTCTTTCCAGTCAAACGCAGGGAAAGGGGTGAAAGTGGCTGCAAGGTTACAGCCCTGGGGCTTGCAGAAGACAGAGGAATGGGCTTTCCTACCGGCTGCACCAGCACGTTGTTCTTGCCGTAGAGCAGGCGTGTCCTGGAGTTCTGGTGCAGGGACTCCACGTAGTCCCGGGCGCAGGCGGCCAGTCTGTCCTCCGACGAGCTGCCGCTCGAGTGCCGCTTCCGGATCTGCGCGAAAGGCACGGCTCAGCCCACAGCCTGGTCAGTCTCGGTCGGTCTCCGTGGTGAGAACGCTAGGTTTCCACGCAGGACCGCTAGCTGACCTTAGGGGTCCGCGCATCCACCCACGCCGCTCCCCGCCGCAGACAGCTGTGTGCCTCTGGCGTTTACATAAGAGCCAGAGTAGGGAACGGCTCTACTGGGGGCCCCTGCCATGGGGTGTTGCCAAGACCCAGGCTTTGTCTACAAGAAGGACAGAGGCGATCGCTCCCCATCCCCCACCTCTGACCCATGGGCATGGCCTGGATGAGCCTGAGGGTTGGGGAGAGGGATACCTACTCCTAGGGCCGGGCGCTTTGCAGGGGAGTCCTGGCGATGAGGGGGGCCCCGGATACGGTGCCGCTGGACCAGCTCCTCAGCAGAAGGGTCAGTCCAGCAGTGGTCAGCTGTCTTGAGCTTGGTATACTCCAAGGCACAGGGTCCCACTGTGGAGACGGAGACAGCCAGCTCAGATGGTGCCCCTCAGCGTGGCCCTACTGTGCCCACCAGCCCAGCAGGCCTCTCCGCTCTGACTCACCTAGAAGAGATGCCAAGATGGGGCCAAACACAGGGTCTGCCAATAACGCCTCCTTCTCGTAGTACTTGCTGCCGGGGGAAGAGACAGACAGGTGACTCTAGAGCTCCCAAACTTGCTCCAGGGCGGTCAAGCCCACCAAGTGGGATCAGCACACAGAAACCAAATGCACGCCAGTCACAGAGGAGCAACGCGAGCTGTGTGGGATGCCTGGAGTAGCCTGCACTCTGGAGTGCTCTGGGCGGCCACGATGGTATGGACAGTCTCGCGTGATGTGGCTGGGGCGGCCTGGGGGGTGGGTGGTCACCTGCAGTTCTCCACCAGGTACTGCACGACCCTGTCCAACACTTTCTCGATGAGCGCTGTTCGTACCCATAAGTGTTTCAAGGCCTGTGGGCTGAGGGCTGGGGCCCTGCTGCTGGCAGAGCCCTGTCTCCTCAGCACCTCCTGGTTGCCCCCAGAGGTTTTCCTGCAAAGAAGAAAAGGGCTTCAGGGGCTAGGGCCTAGACAGGTGGCACTGGGAGCAGGTTTGGTGCTACAAGGCAGAACCCAGAGAACTGACCAGGAAGGACAGTGAAGACAAGGGGAAGGGTGTGTTCCCAAAAGGGGCAACCCAGCCCTTAAGCTGCTCCCTCATCTAAAAGGCCCTGGAAGCAAGGAGCCCCGGAAGTCAACCTGCAAGTAGCAAATGCTAAGAGAACAGAGCAGAGGGAACGAGGGAGGGGCTGGTCCAGGGCTCACCTGCTCTCTGCTTGCTGCTGCAACTCCTGTACCTTGTGGCAAATCTCCCCAGTCACTGGGCATGTCTTCCCCACCTTGGTGAACAGGGCTGCCATCTTGTCACTGCGCAGGAAACCGGCGGCCCGGCGTCTCAGCTGATGCAGGAGACAAGCCTCCACTGCACCTGGGCAAGAGGGCACCAGCGTCTTAGCCAGGCAAGAGGGCTCTGACCCAGGTGCTCTCACGCAGGGAGAAACACCCAGGCCTCGTGCCAGAATGCTCCCTCCCTATCCTCTGCTCCTGTAGAAGGTGGACTGGTGGGGGCTCTGACATGCCAGCGAGCCCCCCGCCCGCTCCCTGCGGTATGCACGTGCCCCCTGGATGCAGCATCAGCCCGGGGGTGTGCAGACCAGCGCTGCCATGAGAGACTCTGTCCCGGTGGCAGCAGAGGCCTGGACAGCCCCTGCAGGATGGGAGCGCAGGGAGCATGCAGTCCTCATGGAGAGCGGTGGCGATGTGGTTGCTAAGGAGCGGGGCTCTGGAGAGTGAGCTAAAATATTGATGAAGTCAACTGCAGGGATCGGACTAGACAATCGCTCCTGAATTATGGATGAGTCTAGAAGCCAAAGTTAAGAGATTTCAATTTTCCATGCTGGGGAGCCTTCATTCATGTTTTGAGGAACCAGGTTGATGACCTCTGGATCCTGCTGACCGCACAGTTGCTGCAGGACACTGTGGGGCTTGGTGGGGAGGATGGTTAGTGGCCCTGGGCCTGCACAGACTAAAAGTATTAGTGTGCACAGTGGGGTGAAAGGCGTTCGGCCCTGACTGAGGTCATACAGACCTGTTTGCAAAGGCCCAGGAAAGGCCTAGAAAGGGGAAAGGTTTTGATCATGTCCATAAAGTGGCAGAGCAGGGACTAGACTCTAGGGGCCCAATCCCAGCCCAAGCCCCTTTCACCTCTTCCAGGTGACTTGGGGGTGGGGAGATTAGGAGGAGGTGTACCCATCATTTCACAAGTGTTTTTCACCAGGGAGTCAGAAAGAACAGGGTGGGGCTTCTGTGGTCACCTGTGATCTCTGGGAAACTGCAGGTGATTGAATGCTCTGAGCCTCCGTTTTATCATCTGCGAAATACCGAATATTAACTGGGACTGGTATGAAATGTTACTAGAGATAAAGTACTTGAGGTCCTCACTTCACAGTGTTGGTAAATTCTTAGGAACTGCAATTTTAAGCAAAATGAGGTATAACCAAAACCAGTTCTCAAATGTTTTTGTTTAACGTGGGGATTGTTTTTTTCTCATCATGAAATGATCTTGAACAAAATGATCACTCAAAGACCTGCTGAACACAAAGGGTACAGAGTCTGGCATACAAGACACCCCCACCCATGTTTCCTTTTTTGTGGGGATCCTATCTGACAACAATAAGGGACAGGATTTCTCTTCTGGCAGGAGGAAGAGAGGACACATTAGGGGAGGATCACAGACTGCTCCTCCACAGGAGGGTGGAGACGTGTTTTTGAAGCAGAGGTATGGAAGTAAGCGTATCGCATGGATGGGGGGCATGTGGGAGAATCTTTCTTAAGAAAAAGTGTTCAGATTCCGTTCCATGGCAGTTCTCTTGGGTCCTGGAGGGCTTGTGTGCCCCTGACGTGTCCAAGTGAGTGACCCTTTTGTCCTGGTCTCTAGGGTTTGGGGTTGCTGCAGGTACAAATCCACGCCTGTAGGAAGGCAGTCTGCATTTTCTGGGGTGCACTCCCAATCCAGAATGAGACCGAAGCAGCACTGAACAGGCCAGAATGGCAGCAGGTGGCACCAGTCCTGCAGGGAATCATATGCCTCGGTGATGTGACTAATTGCTGGGATAATGAGTCATTAGCCTTCCCGCCTTCCCCAGGCGACGACGCAATCACAGCCAGGCTGGGAGCCTGGGGATGGCAGCAGTGGCAATCCCATCTCACTTGGCCTCACCCCATCTTCCCAGGCAGCCACTGAGCACAGGCCGTGGGGTGAGCGGAGGCATTCCTCAGCAATTACTATCCATAGAGAATATTGAAAGAAGCCCAAACATCACGCCCAGTCCCCTGCTCACCCCACACCCCTAATTTTCCTTCAGTGAAACCCAGGCAGTGTGCCAAACGATGTCTGGGCAAATAGAAATCCCTCTCAACTCTCCACTTTCCAAGCAAAGTAAACAACCCTCCAGGCCAGGTATTCTCAGCTCAGGGCCACCTCGAGTCAGTGCTGACAGACACTGGTCCTTCTCCCTTCCCACAGGGTGGTCACCCCCAGAGAATCAGCAGCACGTGCAATGAAAGATGTTATTGGGTACAGCATGCTGAGAAAAGAATGAGGAGGAGAAACATACAACAACACTAACTAATAATTACTCCTAAGAGGGTCTTTGAGCTTCTGGATCTTTCCAAGACCTCTAGAATCAGATGCAAAATTGTTGGTGTGCTCTGGCATGCATAGGTGAATGTTTGCTTTGTCTTCAAACTAGATACAGGTTCATCACTTTCAGCTTCTTAAAAGGGGTGTCTGATTCCATAAGGTTTAAGAACCTTTGCTCCAGTGTGTTGAACAGAGACAGAGACAGTCCCACTGATAGAAACTCAGGAGCGGTAAAGAAGACTCTGCCCACAGCCCTGCCCTCCAACAGACAGTGAGCCACTCAGACCTACAGCGCTCAGACCTGCAGCAACCTGCAGCAACCACCTAGACCCAAGCTTGCTCCCCAGGGGGCCAATCACAGACTATCAACACCGTTTCCCCAGACACAGGTCCACCAGAGCCGGTGGGGATGTCCTCCTGTCCTCCTCTGCTGACTGAAGGCCAAGAGCACCGTGCTGGGGAGCTCGAGGGCCTCTCTCCTTTTCCTGCTTCATCTACGGAGTGGAGAGTGTGGCAGAAGACCCGCCATGGCCAAAGCACTCAGTGGAGCCCAGCCCTTTTCTAACAGCTGTCGGGGCCCTTTCCTCCTCTAACCCACTTTGAGGGTTTCAGGATTCCCTTGCCCCATGGGAACTGGCACCACCAACATCTGCTCTGAGTGCATGAGAACAGAATGACCATCCAACCCATGTACTTATTTCATCATGGTGTGATGCCAGAGATTCTCTCTAAACTGGGGGTCAATCAAAACTCACAAAGCCCAGAGAGCCTGGGTCTGTCAATGGGCAGCTACTCCTTCATCAGCTCCCTCAGCAAATAAGGCCTTCAGATCAGCTTGGTTCCCCACCCCCCAGGCACTTCTGGGCTTTGCAACGGCCACAGGTGGTCTGAGTTGGGCAGAGACTAGAGAAACAAGTCAGTGGGCTAAGATAAGCTAAGATGTCACAGGGCCCCACAAGAACAGACTAAAGCAATGGCTATTCAGGGAATACAGCAGTGATTGAGAAGGATCTTCCCTCAGCCCAGGGGCACCTCAGAAGCAGTCCAGCTCTCTGTGGCACGGCCAATAAAGCCGAGTCAGCAACCAAGAGTCCTGGACCAGCCCAGTCTGGTAAAAGGCCTTCATGGGAGCAGGCCGGATTGGCAGAGGCACAGGGCCACAGGGTCCAGATAACAGATCCGGTCATAAAGCCCCGAGAGGTTGAAAGGAGTCAGGTACGGTGGGTGCCCCTCCCCTGTAGTTGCCATAGAGAACCCATGTGAGGGAGGTGCCGAGTGGAGCAGCCAGTCACAGGTGGCACATTTTGATCCTGGAGTTTTGAGGACACGACTGAGTAGATGTTTGAAAGCTGACTGCCTTGGATAGACAGACAGGAGAGGACCAGCTGCCCTGGGGAAAGGGAGGGATGGGAAGCCTCTTTTTAGGGAAATGTTCAAGGAAACGCCTGTGCCAGTAAAGAAAGTCAGTTTCGGCTGCCTCGGGTGAGGTGAAGACTGACGCCACCTGCCACGTCCTGCCTACTTTTCTGGTGAGCTCGTTCCACCAGGGATTGTAATGGCTGCCTCCACTCAGAACAGGCATTTCTATGGTAACCAGGAGGCATTTTTACTGAGTTTACATTTGCTCTTAGTGACGCTGGCTGGCCGCATCAGTTTTGGGGGACACTTGGTCTTGCTTAACACCCTAAAACAAGAAAAAAAGTCTCCCATCCAGATTTTCACTGAGAAGGAAAAAAACACTGTTCTAGTACTCTGGAACCAAGCAGGTGAGGGAAATGAAATCCATACCACATATACCTAGTCCTCCTTGCCCAAGGGGAGGAGGGCTAGGCATTTGCATGCCCGCCCTCACAGTGGCTTCCCAGCGAAGCTTGTTAGTACAGGCCTGACTCAGCTCAGCACGGGACCCACTGTCCCCAGAGTAGCTTCAGGCCCCAGCAGTCTACCCTTGGGTGATCTGAGATATGACTCTATTAGGGCCAAGTCCTGGCTTCCGACCACCAGGCTCCACTCCTGGGTAGCCCTCACCTAGGTAGCACAGGCCTCGGGGCAACACAGTTGTGGATTCAAATCCTGACTCCTTTCCTTACTAGTCACTTGACTTGGCGCAAACCACTACATCTCCCTGCGCTTCAGCTGCAATTACGATAAAGAACAGGTTTCGGCCCTCCCTGGTGGCGCAGCGGGTTAAAGCACAGCACTAAGAAGCTAAAGCGACTTCCGCAGGGGTTGATTCCCGCCTGCCCCGGAGGTGACCACATGGTGCTGCAGACCTCTCCTGATCTGCCCGCTGCTCCCCTCAGCGGTGTACTTCATCCATCTGCCTGTTCTGCTCCCCATTGTGTCTCAGGTGAATCCTCTCACCCTCCGCATCTCTGGCCTGTACCCCAGTTCTGTATGAATAAATAAATAAATCTTTAAAAAATAAAGAAAAAGAAAAAGAACAGGTTTCACCTCAGTGGGTGCTGAGTGACTGCAAGTGATACTGTACCCAGGGCTGCAAAATGTGCCCCATGGGGCCCACCCTGGTGGCACAGGGGTTAAGTCTCAGCACTATGAAGCTATCCACTGCCATTGCACAGAAGCTCAATTCCCCTGCAGGGAGCTGACCCACATGACATAGCAGACATCTCTTGTCTCACCTGCTACTCCCCTTAGCAGTGTATTTCAGTAGATTCACCTGTTCTGCAACCCACTCTGTCTCTGGTGAATCCTCTCATCTCCTGCACCTCTGGCCTGTACCCCAGTTATTATATGCATAAATAAATAAATCTTTGAAAAATAAA